CCCAAATTATATTAAAGTCCATCTCATCTAGTCGAGCTACAACAAACAATCCTAAAATGAGTCTTGGTGTTTCTCATCTAATTGTTTTAATCATGAAATGAAATATAGTAATTGAAACAGGAAATGAATAAAAACTGCTCAAAATGAATGTTACAACGAGGTCTTGCTTTGCTGTAATTTCAGAGTATGAACCAATTTTTTCTCCCTTCTAATCACTTTAGATATTTACTAAGCATTGTATACAGCAAGTTGAAAACAGAAACTGTTGGAACTTCAATTACAAATAAAAGGTGGTTGTCGTATAACATAAGTTATCTTTAAGTTGGCAAGAAATTAATATTAGTTATATATATCTTCCTATGCAGTGTTTTCATAATTTTAAACCTAATTATGTTGCTTTATTCATTTGCCATGCTTTTCTTGTGACGTCTATATTTTAGATGTGTTGATGAGACTGGTTAAAACCAGTTTTTAACATGATACAGTGGATGTAGCTATTATTTTATGGAACATTTGGAAACTTTCCATATCTAGTTCAATATTATTAGTAGGTTTCTTCACTGTGTATAAAATATAAAATGGTAACAATCAAACATATTTAAAATATCCAGTTCTCAGTGGAATCCCTTTCACACTTTACTTAAAAAGTCAAAATCAGTAATATTAGTATCACTGTGATGCCTCATCACATTTTTATCATTAAGACATATTACCTTTTGTATTCATACACAAATAAGTCATATACACAGGTAAGGTATAAACACAGAGTATTACCTCTTGTATTCATTCACAGGTAAGATATAAACACAGGCATATTATCTGTTGTATATGACATATACAGAGATGTAAATGCAGAATGATAAAATATATAAACTTAGGTAGAATCATAGATATATATTGAAAAACATCTGTAAATATGTAAGAAGCTTTGTTTGCATGACTCATAATAAAGTAAATGAAAATCAAACACTTGCCTCTAACCATGTACATAGTTCTTAATCCAGTCGTGCGTTTTTGAGAGTAAGAATAAATCCACACCTTCATTTAAAAATACAATTTGTTGATATTATTCACAACAAGAACAAAACATTTTTGTTTTAACAGATAATTAAATACACTAAAACATTTTTACAAGTAAAACAACTGTAAAAAAAATTCATATTTCCTAAGGAATTTTGCTGCAAGAGAATCTATTAAAGAATAAACATCAAAATTTAATTTTAAAAGTTCTATCTCTGTTCTTATATAAATAATTATAGTTACCGAATGATGATGTTTATTAACAAAAATATGTTGTTACAGGGAAAAGATATTATAAGCCACGAAGATGTCAAGTGTGTGGAAAATGGTTTAGTCAATCTGGAAGTATGTTACGTCATAGAAAGACTCATGGTTCAATGATTATGAAATTCTTCTGCAGTTTGTGTCCATCATCATACTCTCGGAAACATGATCTAGTTCGGCACGCAGTAAGGAGCCACTTGGAGAACCACAACGAGATTATGGAATACATCCAGAAGACTTATTGTTGATCACAAGCAAACTGTCGTACACTTCTTCAACATTTTCATGTATTTGGGAATTGTTTTTTAAGCATGTAGTTTGATTTTGAATGTGTAAAAGGATCTGCTTATGACATATTTGAATTGATCTTTTTTTCATGACATAAACTGAATAAGCAATACCTTTTCTGGTAATATTTTCTATAGGATAAGAAATAATTGCCAAGCGTACCTGTATAAGTTTGACTTACTTTGTAAGAAGCTATTAAAATGTTTGTACATATGTATGAGAACAATGTGCACTGCCGAACTGATTTGTAATGTCGTTGTGGTTTATGAACTTTCGCTTATTTTAATGTTCATCACTATTTTGGAAAGAATAGGAATCAGAGTAGTTTGAGAACAGTTTTTTTCTGTAAAAAATATATTTTATATATATGTATATATTTATTTGTCTTGTACAAAAACTAACCAAATTACTAATAGTCACAAAATATGAAAAGGGTCTACTTTCACCCGCAAGATTTCCTTGGTTTTTATTATTATTAATAGTTAGAGTTTAATTTCATATAGGTACATATTCAATGTATAAAAGACAGCTCAACTACAGTATAAATGTTTCTTCATATGCTGACCAGATATGCAAGTCTAAGGTCAAGAATACTTTGTCCAGTCAGAAATTAAAGGTTTAGAAAAACTATGCATTCTGGACATGATAAGGAACTAATCTATTTCTGTAAAGTACATAATGGGTGGTAACCCATACTGTAATGCAGTAATGTTAATGTCAAAGTCTCTCTTTATTATTTTTATTCTGCTTTAATGTATATAAGGGTTAAGTACTAAGTGAAATTAAAAATGTGTCAAATTCTGTGTAGAGTTTTTATTGGAGTCTTGAGAAAACACATTTTTAATATACATATACAGTGAATGAAGTGGTACAAAATGTAAAATGATGTACCATGATTTTTTAAAGGTAGTAAATAAGGAATTGGAATAATTTACGGGTGTTTTTATTACATCATGCATTTATAAACACGACTATAGCTGGATGATTAGTAGATTACCTATGATAATCGATTACATCAATTAGTGTCTTGTAAAATAATCAGTGTATAGAAATTTCAAGTAAATTTATTAATGTCACAAAAATTATCAACTAGTGTTTCCATTTATTACTGTTCTCAATTATTCTAACTATCCAAGTAATTTAAATAATGCCATTACATTTCTTATGTGCAAAGTTACACAATAGGCTGTCTGCTTTGCCCACCACAGGTATTGAAACCTGAGTTTTAGCATTATAAGTTGTTTTTTTTAACTATCTTGTGAGAATAATAGATTTGCTAAATGTAATCAGTTAATGAGCCAGACAATTAATTGATCAGCAAATTCCACTAATTACTCAGCTATGCACGTAATCATATTGTAGATATACATCACATAAATGCTAAAATTTATCTTTATTCAATTTTCTAGAAACTTAACAAAAACCAATAAGTCTACTCTCCTACTTGTATTTATTAAACAAGCCTAACTTGG